GGGTCCAATGATGGATCGAATTGGGGGGGAGAGTTGTAAACCAAGTAAAAGCGTTCTTTGTTAAAGAACTTGGGAAATATTTGATCCTCAGGTTTTCGTTGTTTGAAATATCCCCTGCTTCGATCAAGTATCTCGCCACATGTTCGACAGTAGATTCTGTCGTGTCCCCAGAGAATTTAGTGAACTTAGGGACTTTACATCTAGGAGGTAAGTCTGTTTGTAACACGTATTCTGACAGTGGGGATGTGAAGTTGGGCCTACGAAAGCCCATGTTCATCCCATTCTGCGTCATGACTCTTTCGATCATGGCTGCCAGATTATTTTCCAAACCCATATTCTGGTATTGGATATGCTGAACCACTTCGTCAGCATTTTGGTTTCTGTTAACTAACCTTACCTCTGGGGCTATAACCCTAGGTTCTTCGACAGGCTGTTCCAATCGTGCCCTAAGGTTTTCTTCGACAGGCTGCTGGACTTGGTTGATAGTGGTTTCTTCCTCTAAGAGTATACCTTGGTTTCCCCTTATTTGCGCCCTTTGGGGCTGTCGAATAGGTTGGGGTACTCCAAAGAAATCAGCCAAATGCGTCATTTGCGCTGTCATCTACTGATTCGATTGGGTGGTGTTTTGTATTAGAGGATTCAGCACTGTACTTAAAGTTTGTGCCAACATTTGAACCATATCATGGTTGCTTTCGTCCATTTGTTGCCTCAAGACTGCTGTCGAGGCATTTGTAAGGCCATGTGCTACTTGGGACGTTCCTCCTAAGAATTGGGTCCTACTTCTGTTCGCCATACCTACTCGAGAACCTTGGAGTGGCGAAGAGGCACTCACTAAAGGGTCTGAAAAAGTGGACGCAGCGTTCGTCAGGCTAGCCAATTCAGAAGTTGGCATGCCATAGAGTGGTTCTCGATTTTGACCGCCTGTCACAAATCCTGGGGGAACATAGGGCCTTGTGCCTATATTTCCCCTTGGTGGGGGAGTTCCCAAAGGCACTCTGGGGCCTGTGAACGGAGGTAATGGCCTCGTCGTTGTGACCGTCACTGCTGATGTTGAACCAGCGGTTATCGCTTCACTTATGGTTGGGATAACCGTTGTTCCTACATTCGTTTGTGGGATTTCGTTATGGTTTGGCGGATTCGCCATCTCTTCTCTTCTTCTGGCAGTATTGGTATTGTTAGTGTATATTCTACCACTTCTCAATAACATGCAATACTTCTCGAAAAAGATGATATTTTGTGTAAAAAGGTTAAACTTCAAAATCAACACAAGGTCCCACTGGGCATGCCAATTTGTTTACCGTGGGAATTGGTAAACAACCGCTGATCTTCCAAAAGGTTACTTATTTGGTGACTCGCAGGATCGATCAGATTGATCCTAAGACATGGTTGATTTTGGGGTTTTGACTAAGTTTGATAATGGTTAAATGACAAGAAAATAAAGAAGCTTTATGTAAATTGCATGAAGAATAAAAGGAAGGCTTAAAATGAAGGCTTCGACTGGAAAAGTAAAGAAGAAAGCAAGTAAAGTTTCTGGAAAATAAATGACTTTGATTAATAAAGTGGTGTTTCACACATACATTCTCAACAATTCTTTCTCTCACGCTGGGTACTCGAATCTATATGAGTAACTTGTATATAATTGTGAACACACGCGAAAAACTGCATGAACTACTAATATTTATACTAAATACATCCCAAGTAACCGTCGAGCAGTTACACTGCTTCGAGATGACTCCACTTGGCATGTTCACAGCGTTCGACGCTCCAGATCTTGGCACGTTGCACTTGGTAACCGTTGGGAACCGTTTTCCCTCCAAACGTTTGAATCTCAAATCGTTCCACTCTGAACAATCGAACACCTTCGTCGAGAGGCACCTTCGACGTCGAAGGCCACAAGATTCCTACTTAGAAGAAATTCTCTAAGTACATTACCATCTTCTGATGGGCATTTCGACAGACCCAGCTGGTACAAACCATCCTTCAGTTTTAAGGGCTGATATTAATAAAAATAAGGGTGTCGAATTTAGGAGCCAACACCATCCAAAAATAATCATTAGCATCATTAGAGAATTCCAAATTCAGTGATGACACCTTTTCCACTATTTCTTCATTGTTGTTCAAAGATAACAAAATCCCGACCATGAGTTTTACTCTTGGACTATTCTTCCAACTACCATTTCACTTCCTCAACACTAAACTTATATTCGAATAGGGGTAGAAATAGGCCAGGTCGATAACAGGGACCTACGGCCTAGCCTACATAAGTTATGACTATGGCCTAGCCTACATAGGCTCAGGCTAGGCCTATGCTTTTTTATAAGCCTATTTAATTAAAAAGGCTAGGCCTCATGCCATGAAAAAAGTCTTTTAGGCCTAATAGGCTGGCCTATATAAATAAATATGAATATTTTTTTATTATCATTATGTTATGTTTTATACTTTGAATCGAAATACATAAATAAAACTTAGTTATCTTTGAGAACTTATGAAGATAAGATGAAAACACCTTATGAACAATGTTATAAGTTGTTTTCACAAGTCCTCTTAAACAAATAGTCTCAAAAAACTTATGCTAATTGTTAAGTTAAAATAAATCAATGCAAACAAATTTTTAATCTTATTGGTTTTTTAGTTTGTTAATATATTTAAATATTATTTAAGTTACTTATTTACATATGTCTAAAATAATATGCTTTTATTTAGGCTAACAGGCTAATCATGCCTTAAAAAATGCCAGACTCAAACCTAAAAATAAACTTATGACAGACTACAGGCTAGACTTAGGCTTCCGTTTTTTGACAGACTGGACTTAAGCTTGACAAAGCCTAACTCGGCCTAACCTATTTTCACCCTTATATTTAAATTGACACTTTAGACCCCTAACAAACTTTGGCCCAATGGAATTATCCATGATACTATTAACATAAATGACCATAAGGTCAGTCAACTTAACTTTTCCAAAACTAAATCCTACCCCGCCCTATTTCATATCAATACAGGTGGAATAAGGTTTCATATCACCAGGATTGACTACCACTAGTTCATTCCTAGAAACAACATCACTGACATCTATACAGGTGATTCATACATTCGAGTTTCCTAGGTTCTATATGTACAAGGGCAAATGAATCTTAGAAATGCAAAGGAGGAAAATGAATTATCTTGGGTTGATGTAGATAACCAAGAGAAAAATAATAGAGAAGCAGATTGATTGAAGAAAGCAACTTGAATTTGATAATTTGCAACAATAAAGAAGAAGCAAATAAAGCTCTCTCTCAAAAAACCCTTGAAGCAAAAAGGATATGAAAAGTGAAAATGAAATGAAATTCCGAATTTATCTATAAATTAAGATCCATGCTTTACAAACTTGATCCATTCTAAGCTCTAAGGTTCAATCCAATGACTCAAACGATGTTTCTGTTTAGTAACCGCACTTGAGTGCAATTGATTGGGCCTAGGCACATCGTCTTTCTCCACTATGCGTGTAGGACATGTGGGAGTCATTGTTGTAGAAATGTTTCTTTTTGCCCAAGGTGCATTTTATGTGAAGTTCTTCATGCCAACTACTCATACTCACCCAGGCTACCATTGAGTGTCTCTTAAATGGAATGTATCTACCAACAGACAAGGTTCTATGGTTCAAATTCTTTCATTGACTTCACTTATTCTTACATAACAAATATCTGCATTATAGCTAATAGTAAGAACTTTGAGGGAAAATGTTTCTGACTAGGCAAGGGCCCAAAAAAATCATTCTAATCAACATAGGTCTAATTCTCCTCAGAAGCTCACCACAGTTGCACATGCGAACCTCCATCACATAGAACCACATAGAAGCACAACTCTCCTTCCATCAGAGTAGTTGATCTTCCTCAATAGCCACTTGCGCTTTACGCAAGACAACTCGAAGATAGTTACAACGATCTATCTTGTATAAGTGAAACCCTGAAATACATATAAGTACTATTCAACTTATATTTGCAAAATTTCATCTCTATCTCATATTGACTTGAGCATCAAAATACTACCTTCTCCAATCACCAGAGAATCATCGCCGCCACGCTAAAAACATCTTTAGAGTGGTCCCATCAATGTATCAAACATTATCTGGTTGTAGTACGAAATACTAGTCTTTTAAAGATTTTGTGATATCCTCATTTGAAGATTTTGTGATATCCTCATATCTCCATCAATGTATCAACCATTATCTGGTTCTAGTAGGAAATACTAGTCTTTTAAAGATTTTGTGATAATCGATTTTGTGATATCCTTCCAAAATTTAATACAAGTGGATGGAGATACCTAACTCCCCCTCATCCCCACCCTCGTTTACTAGCGAGTATAAGAAATACCCGTTTATTTTATCTAAGATCCGATGTGTTATTTGACATATGTCAGCACATATTTTTGTCTTTGATGCATGGCAGATTTCTTGTAGATACAGGTAGAATAACATTTTGTGATTTTCTCCTCGGCTGCTCACATTTTGTAATCCAGAAAGATGAAATTGGAATTTTGAGAAGTTTTTGAAAATGCAGGGGACGAGAGATTCACTTACATTTTTAACAAAAAAATAAATTCTCTGTAACGCCAACAGTACTATAAGCCATAAGAAAATGGAAGCCAGTTTCTCCATCCAAACACCAGTTTGAAAATATGCATCAGAAAAATCACCAACTTTGCACGTCCCCCAATATGCACTTTTATATAATTTGTGTGATCCAAAACAGATAAATTATAAGCCACTGTCACACCATTTTTTTTATGATTAACATCTAACCGTGATTTAAGCATAGTTTCAAAACAGAATTCTTTTGAAGTATTTTTTACAGGTAAAATAACCTATAGTTGAATTTGTAAATATGTCCTACAAAATTAGAGTGTTAACTCTCTTAATTTTAGTTCTTCTAACCAGCTAGCTACATGTATATAGGATAGCAATAAGAGGTGGAAAAAAGAATCGTGACAACTTTTTACATAGCATTCCACAACTAATTTCATCAATCCGATGGCTTTGGGGATAATAAACCAGAGGAGCCTGAGAAAATGTTAACTCTATGAAACGGAGACTTGTTAAGTGATTCAGAGACCCAAGAAGAAGCATGATGAGGAATAACTCCAGCAGCTGCCTGTCTTTCTCTATATGATGCCCAAGTAACCGCATACAGACCAGTAATGATTAGCGATCCACCTAACACGCTGTTGTCATCATGGACAAAAAAAATCAGAATAAAACCTATGAATCAACAACATAGACAGTTGATACAATATTGACACACCGACTTGTAGACAACAATAAGAATTTAAGAAAATGTAAGTGATTGAACATATGTGTCAGTGTCGTGTTGGTGTCAAATCTTATAGAAGAAGTTGTCGTTTAAATACTCAGTTGTTTGCAGATTCTTTCAGTATACTCTTAGACAGCAATGCATCAATAAATGGAACATTACAGGAGATGTACCTTCCCATGTAAATTGGACTTCCAATAAAAATTCTAGATAAGAGAGCAGCTGCCCCAGGTTGAAGTGGATTATAAAGGGCAACCATGGCTGGGCCCAAGATTTTGTTGCTCCATGTAATGATTCCATAATTAAGTGCAGATGCAATAATTCCCTGAACAAACAAGAAAAACAATTTTAAAAAACTACATGGAAAAAATCATTTAAAGTAGTTTATAAAAAGTTGATACCAAAGACCATTGAGTTCTAAAATGTAAAAACAGAAGACACTTCCACTCTTTTATATAAGGATTTCTTGCAGTTGGCATTTTCAGTAGTTGCGATCTCAGCTGTAGGATAAAGATCAGACAGCTCAGAGTTCAAGTTGTGTTTTGAATCTGATTTGATGAGTTTTAAACGAGTTGTCCAATCTCCTTCCAACAGCCGACTGCAGTGACTACAACATTTGACAACTGCAGAGAACTTGGGTCACATTCTTTTCATGCTAAAAAAATAGCCTAACATACAAACACGATGTGTGCGCCACATCACTTGGTTGCTAGTATTAAAAGCGACTGAGAGGTATAAATGCTTTACAAAAGTAGTTGGATTCATCTGATTCTAAGTGAGCAAATCAAAGCAAAAGAAACACAAACTAAAAGATCACATACAGATAATTGCATAAAATTATTTTATATACAACCAGAACTTTTTGTGACCTAATGGGAATACATTAAATAATGCCATAATGGGGCACATTTTTTCTGTTTTTCTAATAGGTGGAAGTGGCAACATATGGTTAGCAAGTAGAGGAAAGGATACTAACAGTAGTAGATTCAAAATTGAATCCAAAGTTAAAAGACAAAATTAAGGAAAACTTATTAAAAAAAGTGGTTTTCCTTTTATTTCCTCACTTGCAAAACTCGGACTGCCTTGAAAAAAAGCTGGTATTAATATTCTAATACCATTGACTCCTAAATACTTCCTTATTTAGAATGGCTTCTATTAAAGAAATACAAATACAAAAAAAAAGAAAAGAAATTTGATGAGTAAAATAAAAACAACTAACAATGAATAGGGAAAATGGACCAAAATGATTAGCAACATAACTAATAATGATTCATGACGTTCAAGATTGATTTGAAATTCTAGTTACTCACAGCATATAAAACGGCAAATGTTTCAGACTGATTCAAACTCCAGTCAGTTGACTCATCGGTTACGAAGTATGATGTAGTTACCATCAGTAAAGCTCCAAAGAAGTATGAATATGCTGTGACAGAAAGGCTTGCAGGATACTTTTTTAATAATGGAGCCTGAAAATAGTTCACGATTATAAATTAAACATAAACATTTCACACATAAATTAACCCAATATCACCATAAATTTTCAAAATAAACTAAGTAGCCAACACAACTAATATGATAAATGAAGAAATTTTAAACAACAATGGTGATTATGCTAATAAATCATTGAATCTGAAAACAAGAATGACAAATTCCGGAGGTCATCCAACAAGACATCAATATATGTCAAATGTCACGTTATTTGGATGAAGATAAGGGGTCAAAGGGATCTTCATTGTCACTGTTAGAGAAAATTAAGGAAAAAAACAAGACCTGTTTCCCCTGTCTCTGTTTATACTAAGAAATAAAGCACACTGCAGGAAGGATATGCCTAGCCCAATAACACTTAACTAATGGCTATTTCTGAAAAGCCCCTCGAGCTGGAGCATATATGTACGCTAATCATGATCAGCCTGTTAGAAATATAGCCTATCCTATTAAATTTTTTGGTGGCATCTGCATGTAGTTCTCCTGTCCGAACACGTCAAGTAATAAAAAGCCCTTATGAAAACTTTTCATGAATGAAATGACAATTAACCTCAATATGTGTTAGTCTTTTATGAAAGACAGTGTAAAAAGTAATATGAATGGAAGTTTAATTATTACTCCATAATTTCATTAGCATTGCACTCTTAAAGTCAACCTCATCAAGATCACTTATCCACACCAATTCATGTAGTTTGTGTCATTGCTAATATTCTGATTTGGCACTAGATTGAGCAACATCACTTCAATTCTTAATTCACCATCAAACAAGGTTACCTCCAACAAGAACAGTAATCATATGTGGACATTAGGTAATCAGAGGATCAGACCAATAAGTTTCAAAGAAGCCCTCAACAACAGTATGTCCACGACTATGCACCAAACCATTTACTAACAGAACAGTGAACACTCTACTATACTACCTACTGATTCAGTATTTCGTTCCAGTTTCTCGATTAATTTGTTTTATTTTACCTATTGCTCTATTACTTAGTTTCATTCATTATTCTAACTCAAACCACTAGGTGAGTCATTCACCATATTTTCTCTATTCCTTCAAGCTCAATTTTCATGACCCTTTCAAAGCTTTAATAGTTAGAATCTATCCTTGCTGCAGGTACCTGCCACTACAGTGTTGCTGAAAGAAGGTTAAGAATATTAAAATGGGTCGTGGGTTCAACTAAGTCGAGCAGGTGTGATCAGGTTGATGTGAAAATTGGACCAAAGCTATAAACAGACTGCCTTGGAGGCCAGTTTGCAGGTTTTCCAGCTGAACCATCTGGTTCCAGTCCATACAACTACGACTCTTAGAGTCAATTCCCATGTATAAAATCCATAGGAATTGTGGATAAATCGCTTAACAGGTTAGTAACTGAAAAGTGTGACAGTGATCACAATTTTTTTCCTTAACTTAATGCGGCTGTAATCAACAATCATTTAAAGTTCATTAAAAAGATACGTACCTGAATGGATAGAAAAGTAGCCATGCACATGCAGTTCCCTATGAAGCACATAACTCCGAGATGAAAATGGTCAAATCCAAGATCCATTAAACCACTAACTAACCATCCAGAAGGCTCTGGTTGACCTCTGGCACTTATTTCACTATGTGATATAAGGTCCAGTTCTGAAGATCCTATCAGTGCTGGACCACGGTACAAAACCATTACTAAGGCACCCAAAACACAGACGAAAATTCCTCCAACCTTGGCCAGACCTTCATATCTTAGCAAGTTTACTCTTTCTGTACTGCATGAATAAGTTTATTAAGGTACACATTATAATATGATCCTGGTGTATCTGAATATAAATAATATGCATATTTTCATGCAACATTAGCGCGGGTTGTTTCACTAAAAAAAAGGCATTCACAAAATGAATACACAAAGAAATTGAAAGGAGAGAAACTAACCCCATCATTATAGCCAACACAAATGTAAAGACTGGAATAGATGGCTGAATCGCAGCAGCATATGTTGGAGTAGTATAGCTTAAACCAATAAGAAACAAAAGATGATTTCCAAATATCCTGAACACAAATAGTGAAGCAAAATACCAAAGCATCAATAAAATTGCATATAATCTAAACATAATAAAACTAGTATATATGTTGTGACTATATTAATAACCTTACCCGGTTAATCCAAGAAAGAAAAATGATGTCACGAAGTGCTTTGTTAGGGGTGGCCGTGTACGTCTACAGACAACATGGCATCATTATTATACTCAAGCATTATAATAAAGTGCAAGTTAAAATATCACTTCTCAAATGTAGCAGTAGCAGTAGAAGAGTTAAATGAGCACTATGCTGCCTTTAAACAAAATCAGAAGCCACCTTCATAGTTGAAAGCTATGATTATAGCAATAAGAAGAGAAGTTCTAGCATCACTGGACCAGACTCAAGATGATAACTAATCAAAATTGTCAAATAGTTGCTATAGCATAGTAGAATTTGAACAAACCGCTATTGTTCAACAACTTGGTACAAGTATTGTAAAAAATAGGCTATATAGCATAGCGAAATATGAACAAACCACTATTTACCAGAATCCACAGACAACAATTATAGAGTTGTAGAATTGATTTTGGAATGATTTTGAGGTGTATGGTTCTTCTAAAGTAGAATTGATTCTGCTTCCATAATTGATTCTACTCGAAGCTAAAATTCATGTATGTTTGTTTCAGTTTTTGGAAGAGACAAAAACAATTCTAGAGGTGTAGAATTGATTCTGGAATGATTTTGAGGGGTTTGGTTCTTCTAAAGTAGAATTGATTTTGCCTGCAGAATTGGTTCTACTTGAAGTTCCAATTTGTAGATTTTGAGTTTCAACGTGATTTTTACACTAAAATTTATTATTCAACTCAATTTTACATAAATGGATCCAAACATACACTTCGTAGGTTGAGTTTAAATGTGATTTTTTTAATTAAATTTGTTGTTCAATTAACTTTTAAAATGTATTCAAACATAAATCATTTTATATACAACTCACTTTACACCAGAATCAATCCTATGAAATCAATTCACTCAGAAACAATTCTAGTCACCCAAGAACCAAACACCAAACACACACTAAGACATCTAGCATGACCTAAAAAACTTAACAAAAGTTTCATCAACATGATGAGTATTACCTCGAAGAAAAATCTAAGATATCAACAAACATCAAGTAACAATTTGACAATTAATAAATCATACCCTAAAAAAAAGCGATTACAAAATTAAAAGTTCCAAATATGCAGTTCATTACCAATCATCACCAATCACATTGAAAAGTTAAACACAAAGATTTAAATCATAATAATTGAAAGAAAAAAAGAAGCATAATCGGAACCTTTCACGGAAATAAGCGATGGGAGCGAGAATAGAGAGAGCAAGGAGATCACGAAAAACACAAAAAACAATCTGGTTGACTCCAACATTAAGAGCCAATTTCGTGATAACATGATAACCTCCGGTGAACAACTGCACAATCGCCATGGCGGTGTGTGCTTTCCATATCTCACCACTCCCTGCACCTCCCATTGTTAATGTTGGATAGATCAATCACAAATTGAATTGACAATAACAAAATTGTTCCCGATTCTGATTCTACTCTATTGTATCATCATCATCATCATCATCACTCGCGCACCAGAATTGAACGAGTGCGCGTGCACGAGTGAGAGAGTGAGTGAAGGAAGAAGATCGATGTTTTTTGGTTTTTGTTGGTGGAGTTTTGTGTTTGTTGGTTTTCTGTAAACTCAGTTTGGTGGTGATGCATAGAAACAAGATCCAATGCGGAAAGAAAGTTAAGCCTATTTTTTCCTGTTTTTTTAGTCTTCCTTCAACTTATTTTTCTTCCTAATACGTGGAAAATATTTAAATATCATTCAACTAAACAAAAAGAGTAAATATATTATATAATATTAAATGGTTAAATTGGCGACTAAATTATAAACATCAATTATTATTTCAGTTTCTGAATGAATTTCCATACTTTAGTCATTTTAGTTCATTTATCAAGTTTTACTATTAAAAAGATGAGTTTTTGAATGTTAAATCAAAGGCATACAGTGTGACATTTCACGGGGACTCCGCACAATTTGCACGTCATAAAGACCAAGACTGTTTATATTAATGTTTTTCGTCGTAACTAATTTTTCGGCACAAACACGGCTTTAAATTTGATTAAAAACTCAATAACAATAACTTTAGAAAACATCAACAGCCGACGTCATTTCATAATTAACTACATTTATATTTATACTTAAAGTTTTTATAATATATGTGACAATGCCTATTGATTAAAGGTTGTCACCGAAAGTAAATTTATAACAAGTCCTATTGATTAAAGATTGTTACCGATTTTAATATTTGTTTTAAACTATATAGTTTGCAAAATAAGAGGTTGGGGAGTTCTGTTCGGAGTACATAAGATATAAAGAGGCTAAAACAGTGTGGCCAATTCTGAACATTCAGGGCAAACAACTAACATTTTCTCTTGCAACAAAAATTGAACAAAACAAAATGTAAAAATACTCATGGTTGCAGCAAGGCTTCTCTTTTTTGTTGTATTTTAAGTGAGAAACAAATTCAAACAATGCTACAGCTTTTAAAACTTACGTTAACGATTGTCCATGAAAAACAATTGGAGGTGTAATTGTAGCAAAGATGTAAAATGCTATATAAAGCTACATCAAGTCAAACAAATTAATTGAGAAATTAGTATGTCGATCACTAATTATCTGTAGATGTTTAGTTAAAACCAAATTAGTATAGTTAAAACTATGTAAGTTAATAAAAAACATAATTATATCTTTTTGTACTTGAGAGTGAATTTTACGGACTCCTGCTCAGAAGTAGTTGTTCCAATATTAATAGGTACATGAAACTCTACAATTTATTAAAAAAATAATGAGGCTTAATTTCAACAAATAATATTTAAAATAATGTTAAAAAGATAAAGTTTGGATTCATAAAATACCTGAAACAATTGAGTCAGTTATCTCATATTCTTCAATCATATTCATGACTTTTAGGTCGTTGTCAAAAGACTTCAACCAGTTTTTAGAACAAACAAGAACCTTGATCATTTCTGAAATCAAAGAGCTCATATACATGTCTAAAAACCCCCTCCCGTGTTAAAAGCACTTTTCGAAGCTACATTTGAAACAAGTGTTGCCAACACATCTCAAACCAATGTTACAAAAATAAGATAAAGGGTGCAATTCTCCTTCCACCAATTAAGAGTCACCTAAGTATTTCTCTAGTTCATTTTGATTTTCAATTGTTTATTTCTCCTTCAAGTGTCTTTTAGAAACATCACCCCGTATAAAAGTGACGTGCTTTCTTAAAAGAATCTACCCCAATATATTTAACTTCAATCAATGGAGTTAAATAAACTTCTATGTTGTTTCTTGGTTGTTTTGGACTTGAAATAATCATTGATAACATCATATATTTGTGCTTCATGTAAAACTACAAAGATAGGTTGTAAATTATGAGAAGAATAGACTATGAAGTATGATTAGTACTCGTATTACCAAATGAATTCATTTCGTTGGTGATATATATATATATATATATATATATATATATATATATATATATATATATATATATATATATATATATATATATATATATATATATATATATATATATATATATATATATATATATATATATATATATATATATATATATATATATATATATATATATAAACATTAAATAGATGGTTTATTATTCTCATCAATACATATTTATTAACACATTCAATAAATAGTTCATTATTCTAAATCTTCATGCTCGTCATCCATATCATTCTCATCACCGGATGTGATATTGTCATCAGATCCAAACTCTTCATGTTCTCGTCCACATTATTATCAACCAACAATATAGACATATCAACTTGATACCTCTCAACCATTGTATTAGACAAACTTGTAATTTGTTCATATGCAATCACATCATTAGTTTGTTCAACTTCATAAACTTGGTAAGCAACATCTTCCAGTAGATCGCCAGTTTCAATATGACCCAACGGTTTTGTTTTAATTACAACACAACACCCTCGTTTATGTGGTACATATGAAGGATAAGGAACATAATAAACTTGCCTAACAATATGGGACCTTATGAAAGGGTCATACTCTTTGTACCTTCGACCCATTTGAATCTCAACAATACCATATGACTTATCTATTTTTGTGCCTCTGGTTGGATAATACCATTCACAATAAAACAAGACAACTTTATTTTTCGAGTCTAAGTAATTGTATACCAACTCGTAGATATTTTTAACAAAGTCATAAAAGTCATCTTCATCATCATTTGTAACTCCCTTTACAAATACACCACTGTTTATAGTTTTTCCCTTCATTTCATGTCTTAGTGTGAAATTTATATCCCTTCACGAAGTATGTGTGCCATCCATTTTCTCTTTGAATAGGGCCTTCAGACAAGTGACAAGTTTCTCAAGTGGAGTATTTATGGAGTCAGTACAATAATGCTAGATAGTCTCTCCTTGAACCATGCTGAAAATTGAGCATGAATGACACTGGATGTTGATTGTACACCGGTACTATGAAAATAGGCGATGTTAAATTCCCTAAAAAGAAACACACTATAAGTTTCAAGGTAATAAATTTTATATTAACACTGTAAAAAAATTAAACAATTGGGATATACTTACTCAAGATATGGTTAACTTTAACGCAGTTGATCAAGACATGAACATGTATATATTGCATTTCTTTTTGGGTTAACCAATGTGCACCCTTCTTTCCAGAGGGACGACCTGGAAGCCCGAAGACTGATAAGGTGAATTGACTTATTTCGTTAAAATTCACAGGATTTCGTATGATTCTTGGAGTTAACATCAAGTGATTAAAATAATGACTGCAAAAATATGATGTTTCCCGATGCAAGTAATATGAACATATTGATCTTTCAACTCTAGCTTTATTTTTCACTGATCACTTTGAATCACCCATGAACCTTTCAAACAGATACATCCACCTATATTGAACAGGCCCACCAAGATAAGCTTCATATACAAGATGCATATGCAGATGTTCCATGGAGTCAAAAAAACCAGGCGGAAATACTCGTTCCAACTTATAGAGAATGAGTTGAATATTTCGGTCCAACTTAATGATGTCATTCACTCTTAAAATTGACGCACAAATATCTCTAAAAAATTGACTAATTTTAGTTAGTAGATTAAGCACATGTTTGGGTAGTGAACCAAACGCAATTGGTAGCAATTGTTCCATAAAAACGTGACAATCATGACTTTTCATACCATGCAACTTCCTAGTGTTAGCGTCGGCACACCTTGCTAAATTTGAATAATACCCATCGGGTATTCTCAAATTTTTTAACCATTGACAAACCGCTTTAGCTTCTTGGAAGTCAGACTAAAACAAGCCTCGGGTTTTAAATTTTTTTCATTCGATTGAGGATCCAACTCCAACTCTTTCCAGATACACCAAATTTCCATGTCTTGTCTAGCCTTCTCATTATCTTTTGTTTTGTCTTTAACATCCATCACTGTGTTAAATACATTATCAATTTTTTTCTCAATATGCATAACATAAAGATTATGGCGCAACAAATTATCTTTCCAATACGGGAGGTTCCAAAATATACTTCTTTTTGTCCAATTGTGTGTGACTCCATATCCTTCAATTCTACATGCTTTGCTAGTATCTGTGAATTTTGGTAGTTCATAAACTTGGTTCTATATAGCACCTGGTGACAATCAAGGCAAAGACAAATCTGTTACCCGTTCTTCTTTTTTGAAATTTGTCTTGTTTCTTCTATAGGAATGATTTGTTGGTAGGAATTTGTGGTGACAGTCAAACCATAAGATTTTTCCCTCTTCATCTAAATAAATGCTTTGGTGTATCCAATGCAATACGGACAATCCATTTTGTCATGCGTACCCTAACCAGACAATATACCATATACTAGAAATTTGTTAATGGTCCACATCAAGGCAGCTCGCAAAGAAAAGTTTTGTTTACATGATATATTATAAGTTCATTCTCCAATCCACAACCTCTTCAAATCGTCAAGTAAAGATTGTAAGTACACATCGATTCCATCTTTTGAACTAGACAACCCTGTAATGATGCACGTCAAAAGCATGTATCGTTTTGTCATGCACGTCTCAAGAGGAAGATTGTAAGAGGTTACAATAACTGGCCAACAAGAATACGCACTTCCAGAGATTGCACATATGGAGAAAAACCATCAGAGAATAATCCAAGCCTGACATTTCTAGGTTCAGTGGCAAAATCAGGATGTGTTCGATCAAAGTGCTTCCATGCCTCGCCATCAGATGGATGTTGTATAGTGTATAGACTTGTTTTGTTTGTATGATTCCATGTAATTTGACTTGTACTGTGCATTGAAGCAAATATTATTTTTAACTTTGGTATTATCGGAAGGTAAAACATGGATTTTACTACTACGCGTTTTTGCTTGCTATTAATGGCTCTACCACGAACTTGATATCTTGGACTCTTACA